GGAAACTATGAATTTGGAGAAATGACGATAGTTATGGAAAGGCATTAGGTCTTTTGTTCATAGAGTCGCTATGAGTCGTGCTCGACTTGATGGCAATCAACAAGGACAACAAGTTAAAATAGTACCTAGATTCTTTGCTCACAAAACATGTGAAATGGGAAAAGGACCCTGTATTAAGCTCCTAAATTTCAGAGTAATTTGTTATATAGCAACAAATAACTAAAACAAATTTACTCTGGAGAAAGGTATACACATGTACAAATTCTAGGAGACACTGTTGTTGTCGTTAAGTGTCGCAGAGTCAAGTATGAGTTATGAACAACAGATCTGAGCCTGCCCTATCCTGTGCCAATCTCATCATCTCTGACACACTTGCATTCTCTGTGTCAAATTATTTTGTAGAGAGTCTTCCTCTTTCTCACAGATCCTCCAACTTTCAAAGTAGAACTCTAGTGGTGCAGTGCTCCAGATTAAGATATCGTTGAAATAATAAACTCTAATCAATTCACAAAGTATCCACAGGAAATAATAAACCCCAATCAATTCACAAAGTATAAACGGAAGAAAAATTTAACAATGCAATATTATCTCATCAAATATCAGAATGCTTTCTCCACAGAGTATTAGAAAGCTAAACCTTTTCAAATATAATTAACGTCTTAGGACTAGCAAAGGTATCATCACATCAACTTACAAAAATAAACTATCTCCGAATAATGTATGTTTCAAGGTACAAACTAGGTTGTTGTTCTTGGTGGTGGTGGTGGTGGTGGTGGTGTTCTTGTCATGTGCCGTCGAGTCGCTTGTGACTCATAGCGACCCTATGTACAATAGCCCTAAACTCTGCTCTGTCTTGTGCCAATTCTACCATCTACACCCATCCTGATTACCCCAATCACTGAATCAATCCACCTCATGGGGGCCTTCCCCTTCTGCACTATCACTCCACCCTAACAAGCACGATGTCCCTCTCCAAGGACCTGTCCCTCCTTGTAACATGTCCAAAGTATGTTACATGGAACCTTAGAATCCTTGCCTCCAAGGAGCAACCCAGTTTGACCCTTTACAGGATGAATCTGTTTATTTTCCTAGAAGTCCATGATACCCTCAATACTCTTCTCCAGCACCAGAGGTCAAAGGGATCAATTCTCCTTCTATCCTCCTTAGTCATCGTTCAACTCTCTGATGCATAAAAAGTGATAGCAAAGACCATGGCCTATATCAGACGTACCTTAGTCTCCAAAGAGACACCACTGATCTTCAGTATTTTGAAGAGGTCCCTAACAGCAGACTTTCCCATGGCAATACGTCTTCCAATTTCCGGGCTGCTGGTGCTGAAAGTGTTGACTGTGCAGCCAAGCAAACTAAAGCTGTGAATAATCTCAATCTCTTCACCATCCATCCTGATGCTGCCAATTGGCCCAGTGGTGAGAATCTTTGTCTTCTTGACATTGAGCCTCAATCCATATTGGAGGCTGCAGTCCTTGACCCTCTGCAGCAAGCTCTTCAGGTCCTCCTCAGTTTCAGCAAACAGGGTTGTATCATCTGCATATCGCAGATTGTAGATAGATCTTCCACCAATCTTGACCCCACATTTCTCTTCATAGAGCCCAGCCTCCCAGATAATCTGTTCTGCATACAGATTGAAAAGGTATGGAGACAAGACACATCCCTGGTGTACCCTTCCCAATTTTGAACCATGCAGTGTTTCCTTGCTCTGTTCTGACAACTGCCTCTTGGTCCAAGTACAAGATTCTCATAAGCATAATCAAGTGTTCTGGGATTCCCATTCTTCTCAGAGTCAGCCACAGTTTGTTATGATCCACACAGTCAAACGCCTTTGCACAGTCAATTAAAGACAGATATACATTCCTCTGGTATTCCCTCCTTCCAGCTAAGATCCATCGAATATTAACTACAATATCCCTAGTACCACGACCCCTTCTAAACCCAGCCTGGACTTCTGGTAGTTCTCTGTTGATGTGTTGTTCCAGTCGTTTTTGGATAATCTTCAGTAGAATATTGCTTGCATGTGAAATCAATGATACTGTTCTATAGTTTCCACACTCTGTTGGGTCACCATTCTTTGGGATGGGAACAAATATAGATCTCTTCCAGTCAGTTGGCCAGGTGGTTGTTCTCCAGATTTCTTGGCACAACTTGGTGAGTACATCCAGGGCAGCATCTGTTAGCTGAAATATGTCAATTGGGATACCATCTATTCCTGGGACCTTATTTTTTGCCATCTCCTTCAAAGCAGCCTGAACTTCGTCCGTCATCACCATAGGCTCTTGCTCAAAGCTGCTTCATTAAATTCTTCTCTGTCTGCCAATTGTTTTCAATACAATGACTCAGTATAATCTTTCCATCTTTTTTTAATACTTCCTAGATCATTTAATATTCTGCTGAAAGCATCCTTGATTATACCAACTCGAGGTTTGAATTTGTTCTTCGGTTCCTTGAGCTTTAGAAATGCTGAGCAAATTCAGCCCTTTTGATTTTTGACTCCCAACTCCTTACACATTTCATTGGAATATTTTACTTTGTCGTCTCGTGCTGCCTTTTGTAATCTTCTATTCAACTCTTTAGTATCTTGAATTCTTCCCTGTGCTTTGGCTTCTCTGCGCTCCAGTGCAATTTTCAGAGTCTCTTCTGACATCCATTTTGGTCTTCTAGTCCTCTTCTGTCTTTGCAATGACCGTTTGCACTCCTCCTGTATGATACCTCTGATATCCTCCCACAACTCATCTGGTCTTCACTCATTAGTGTTCAAGGCCTCAAACCTATTCCTGAGCTGGTTCTGAAATTCAGGTGGGATAGACTCGAAGTCATATTTTGGTTCCCATAGACTTGGTTCAATGCTCCTCAGCTTCAGCTTGAACTTGCATATGAGTATTTGGTGGTCTGTTCCAAAATCAGCTCCTGGCCTAGTTTTCACAGCTGATATTGAGAAAACCCTATGTACAACAGAACACATGTAGATATCAGAAAGGGCAACTGAGGCTGAGCTTCCGGGTATGGAAATACAAAGCAAGAGGAACAGTTGTAAGCAGACACTAGTGACTGGGACATGGAATGTGAGAACCATGAATGCAGGAAAATTAGATATCGCTAAGGAAGAAATGGAACGCATAAATATTGATATACTAGGCATTGGGGAGATGAGATGGACTGGCATGGGGCATTTTGAGTCGGATGACCATATGATATATTACTCTGGAGATGAAAAGGTGAGGAAAAATGGGAGTTGCTTTCATTGTTAAGAAAGCCATTGCTAGATTCATCTCGAAGTACAATATTGTGAGTGACAGGATTAATATCCATACACATAAAAGGAAGGCCAGTGGATACCACTATCATTCAGATATATGCACCAAAAACCAGAGCCAAGGAAGAGGAAATAGAAGATTTTTACCAACTTTTACAGTCGGAGACCGAGCAAACATACAATCAAGATGCACTGAAAATAATGGGTGACTGGAATGCAAAAGTTGGGAATAGAGAAGAAGATTCAGTAGTTGGAAAACATGGACTCAGTGACAGAAATGGAGCTGGAGAGAGGATGATAGAATTTTGCACAATCAATGCCATATTCATTGCAAATACATTTTTTAAGAGACATAAACGCAGGTTATATACTTGGATTTCACCTGATGGTATGCACAGGAATCAGATTGATTACATCTGTGGAAATGACCGCTGGAGAAGCTCAATATCAGCTGTGAAAACTAGGCCAGTGGCTGACTGTGGAACAAAACAGTTACTCAACATAAATTAAAGACTGAAATAATTATTCTTAATTTTACTATCTAGAGTACACAAAGAGAGAAAAAGGACTACCACCATAACACCTAGGAGCAAAACCAGATTTACATATGGTAACTATACATGTGCATTTGACTGTGTAGATCATAACAAACTATGGCTGACTCTGAGAAGAATGGGAATCCCAGAAC